AAACTACAGAACAAGAGGAAGGATGTTGGAATTGCCGCTGAGCTTAAGGAAAAGAGTATGGGGGAATTAATTATCATCTAATCCAATGCAATCAATGGCTAGTCTATAAAGGAGAAAAGGTATGAAAGAACTTTTTATAAGTCCAGTTGGCACACGTGTGGCACTAATCATGTTTAGCACTAAGCTCACCTTAGGTAATCATTCTCTCCATCCTGACACTCAAGCACCATCACCTTTTCAAAGATCAATCAATATACACTACTGGGCTTTAACTTCTTATGGTTTCAAAGTGCACCCATTTGGTGGGTCACCCCGCTCGTGCACTGCATGAGGGCATGGGTCCATATAAACCAAAGCTAAGGTCACCACTTGGGTGACCCAATTATTTGCTCAAAGGGAACTTTAAAACCAGCAAATAGCAAAGAAGGCAACTTTGTTCATCTATTTATAGACACTTGAGATTAGTCAGTTTGCTGCCCCCCAACATTCACAGAAATGGCTTCTGAGAAGGTTGAAACTGTTGTTGCTGGAAACTATTTAGAAATGGAAAGAGAAGAAGGGGATCCTAAGTCTGCAAGGAGTAGATTTTCAAGGTTGTTTTGGCATGGAGGCTCTGTATATGATGCATGGTTTAGCTGTGCTTCTAACCAGGTACAATTCTTTCTTCTCCTCTTTTTTACAGCTATTGTTTCTTTCTAACATTTCAGGGTTTTTGATTTTGTTTCATGTTAATATTGCAGGTTGCCCAAGTGCTACTTACACTGCCATATTCATTTTCCCAACTGGGAATGTTGTCTGGAATCATATTTCAGCTGTTTTATGGATTGATGGGAAGCTGGACTGCTTACCTTATCAGTGTACTCTATGTTGAGTACAGGACAAGGAAGGAAAGAGAAAAGGTTGATTTCAGGAATCATGTAATTCAGGTATGTAACAATTATTGTACTCTTTTAATGGAGATTTTTGGTTCTTTGTCCTTGTTTCCTTACTCTGTTGTTCTTGGCAGTGGTTTGAAGTTCTTGATGGGTTGTTGGGGAAACACTGGAGGAATGCAGGACTTATTTTCAACTGCACTTTCCTTCTGTTTGGATCTGTGATTCAGCTAATTGCATGTGCAAGGTAACTGTTTGATGTTTTGCCTGTTCCATCTTCCATGCCTGATGTTAATCATTATGTTTTATTCTGTTTTTCATTAATGTCTTCAGCAACATCTACTACATAAACGACAATCTCGACAAGAGAACTTGGACTTACATCTTTGGTGCTTGCTGTGCAACAACAGTGTTCATACCTTCATTCCATAATTACAGAATCTGGTCATTTTTAGGCCTTATGATGACTTCCTACACTGCATGGTATCTTACCATTGCTTCCCTTATCCACGGACAGGTAAATGACATGTTACAAAAGTACACTAATTCAATCTGAGGTGTTCATTTTGCTCTCCCTGTAACAAAAGTGTTTGTCTAAATTTTTGAAGATTGAGGGAGTAAAGCACTCAGGACCAACCAAGATGGTTCTCTACTTCACTGGAGCTACCAACATTCTGTACACCTTTGGTGGCCATGCTGTCACAGTGTGAGAAACCATACTAATTTTGTTACCCTGATTATGTAACATGTAGAAATATTGATTGGTGTCAATTTCAATTTCAGGGAGATTATGCATGCCATGTGGAAGCCCCAAAAATTCAAGCTAATATACTTGACTGCAACACTTTATGTCTTGACCCTAACTTTACCATCAGCTTCTGCTGTTTACTGGGCTTTTGGGGATAAGCTTCTCACCCATTCCAATGCTTTTTCTTTGCTCCCAAGAACCGGATTCCGAGATACTGCTATCGTCCTCATGCTCATTCATCAGGTTTTCTATATTTTCCCCATTCATTTTCATTGACATGAATCTAGCTGCTAGTAATGAAAGTCACTTGTATAAATGCTTCTGATGTGATTATTATTATAATTATGGCAGTTCATAACATTTGGATTTGCCTGCACTCCTCTGTACTTTGTGTGGGAGAAATTCGTTGGGGTGCATGAAACAAAGAGTGTGCTCAAGAGGGCACTGACCAGACTCCCAGTGGTAATCCCAATATGGTTCCTAGCCATCATATTTCCTTTCTTTGGGCCTATCAACTCTACCGTTGGATCTCTCCTTGTCAGCTTCACTGTGTACATAATTCCTGCATTAGCACACATGGTAACTTTTGCCCCAGCAGCTGCTCGTGAGGTTAGGCATATTCAATCATCAACATCATTTTCCCTTCAACTTTAATAAGCTGCACTTAGCACACATCATCTAAAGTCTTAACCTTTGGATTGATTTTACAGAATGCAGTGGAGAGACCACCTTCATTTCTAGGAGGTTGGGCAGGAATGTACTCCATGAACGCCTTTGTGGTGGTGTGGGTTTTGGTTATAGGATTTGGTTTTGGAGGATGGGCAAGCATGCTGAATTTCATTCACCAAGTTTATACATTTGGTCTATTCACCAAATGCTATCAGTGCCCCCCAAAAAAAGCGTAGTTAATCAATAGATTCTACTCTGAAGAGAAAGTTAACAAATGATTAAGATACATTTCTAAAAGTGTGTACAAAGATTGGCATTTGTAAGTGGTAACTTTCTTTTTCTTTTGTAAGAGTTTTTCTCAATGTGGTTTTCATGTGAGAGGTGTGATGGCAATGATGGCCACCCTATACATACCTAAAGTTGTAACTTTGTGTGTTGCTTAAACCTTTCAATTAGAAATTAAAGTTTCCCTTGGTTTTAATGGGATTCCCCTTTACTCCTCCATAAATCTACCACTCTCGCGTGTCCAATATATTTGATTAAAAACAAATTATTTATATGAAGATTAATTAGTAATGTGAAAATTTTAAATGTAATAATACAGGGAGTTATTAAATAAGTTTTATATTTTATAGTTTGAGTTGTATCAAACTGGTAAAATATAAACTTTTAAACAAAGAATGAACTAATATCAAAAATACTCATTTAATTCAAGAATAATTGTTTTATAATTAAATATAATTTAAATTTTAAAACAATTTTTTGTATTAAATGTAAAAAAAAAAAAAAAAAGTCACTCAATTGCCTTCTCAAATTTTTTTTTATTTTTTTTATTTTTTATAAAAGCTGATGGTCCCAAAGTCTGTCGTTCTCACACAATCTGAAAGCATGACTGAGCATTACTTTATTCAATAAGGAGGCTAGCCTCGATGGCCCTGTGGGCCAAACTATAGTACTCTTTGGTGCCATGTTTTGCACATAAAAAATGGTAGGTTCCTATCACTTTTAACAACAGATCAACCTCACATGGGTAGGCAGATCAAGGAAGGTCCTTAAGATTTTACCAGGGTTAGCTTGTGGAATTGACATTCAACATGTGAGGCAGCTCAGCCGTAACTACTGGGGCAATGCAAAGCCTGTTGGATGTAGTATGTTATGGCTTCAATGATGGGGGTCCAATGTCTTTTTCTTTTTCCTTTCTTTTTCTTTTTTGTGAAGATAAAAAAAAAAAAGGGAGAAAAATCTATATTGGATGATTACCAAATTTTGATAGTTTCCTCTCGTATACACCTTTAAAGACAAATGGAATGAACAAATGTAGATCATGAATTCAACTTATTGGCTTCAAGCAACTCAATTGAATGTAAATTATTGATATGTTCCATTCTAAGCAGGTAAGTCCAATATATAGATAATGATTAATACATCTTATAATTTAACACATTTTATAAAACACTTGTTAAGAAATTATTATTTTTAAGTTTGAATTTAAGATAAGAAAATTTTCACTTACAAAGTTTAATAATTGAATTAATAAATGTTAATTAGTATATTAAACAAAAAAATATATCAATCATCGTCCTCCAACATATATATTAGAAAAGATTTATATAATAACGAAAGAGACAACTCTTTTTCGTTATTTTATAACAGCTCTTTTAAGCCATTAACATTGGACAAATTGAATATGATTTTTCAAAAGAAATGTTCCATTAGACAAACTGATATACACATACCACCAGACATCAGTGAGAGATATCTGATCTTCCATGTGACTTGTTTTTGGTAGATGGACTCGCATGGAATTTTGGGCTGTGACCGAAGAACGAAGAAGCAGAGACCTTCCAACTGATGAGTCAAAGGTTGGTGGTGCTGCGGGCCATCGGCCATGCAAACGAAGCAAGAGAAAAAAGGTTCACGGACCCCACAGGCTTTGATGGGCTGATTATGACTTTTGCCATCTCCATATCTAAAAACCACTTTACCATTCTGCCAACTGAAAAAGCAAAACATAGATGGATGTCAATTGTGGGAACTGACACCAACTACACATGTCTTGAAAGCCTATGCAACTCAAAAGCAACATTTCCTTTCCTTCACCTAACCCCAAACAATAAATTGGTGCAATTGTAGCTACATGAGGTTCTTTACCATGGAAAGGCCTAAATCATGTCAACTCCAGCATTAAGTCTATTGTTTTTTTAAAATAATATGAGTATTTGAGTCTTTAACCTTACTAATCCATCTATTATGAAGATAACATCTAGACAACTTTGAAAACTTGACTATATAACCATCACAACTGCACCAACTTCGTATTGCAGTTCAATAACAAAGGGAAGAAAAGAACAGCTCAATCATCCATAGCTTTCCATAGCTTGTTATTTATTTTCTATAGCTTTCCATTGGAAAAGATTGAATGGTCAATTCAATGCCAAACTCATATATCTAGAGGGTCTCTCCAAGTCGAAATGCAATGAATATGCACATTTTTTCATAAAAGAAATGCTTTTTGCGGATTGATTGGAAATGGGGACCTAGATATCATTATTTGGTTGACTTATTAGGACATAGGAAATATATTACAAGGGAAGACAGAAATTTTCAGAAAAAATAGAACAGGAGAGATGAAAACCTTTGAATCGGTTCTTGTTGGAAGCTTGTGATGCAGGAATATCATAACTTTGTTACAGGTCTACGTGAGATCGATCAAAGATTGAGGATAAGGTACACGTGTGTCGACAGATGTCATCACATGGTTGGGCTTGTGTCTTACATCAGCGTCAAGTCATTCTATACATTCTGAGTCAGCAGTCAGCCTGTCAGCAGTTGTTTTGTGTTTTGGTCCTCTTGGACCTGCCTGCTCTTATGACCTATTTTGGCGCATTCTGATTCTGCAACAGGTTTCTTTTGAGGCCCAAAAAAACTATTGGAAGTTGAGGTTAGAACTTAATTATTCTAAGTTTTTCCTTAAAGCCCATTACACAGGAGAATTCAAGACTACCCAAAAGAAGATATGCTTTTTAACCTGCCCTGCTGACCTCCAACAGCGAAAACACTATGTTCAAACCTCTACTTTGTTGTTCTGAAATTGCAAGCAGGTTTGTACCAGGAGAAAAAAACAAAAAAAAAAAGCAGAGAGCTTAAAACTTTAATGAATTCAATTTGATGCATAAACTAAATAATATAATAGTGTATGTATAATTGATAACAGAAAAGAATTTTCCAGAAGAAAAACAGAAAAAAGGTCAGCTCCTCTCTTACCAGTGGCCTCCGAGCTTATAAACTGTTTGAATGAGAATCGTTGCCAGTAAGAATTCCAAAGGATCATAATCTTCCTCCTTTCAGGTTCATGCTAAGCACCAGATGCACCTTTGGTGGCCGGCTTCATGGAATGCTCCCTCATTAGGAAGCAGGGTGAGCATCCACAGAAGAATGGAGCGTAAACGTTTTTATGCTACTATTCTAAGGAGCTACGTACACTCATCAATCCAAGAAAAGAAAACGTTGAAGGCACAGATATAAGTACAATGTTTAATATGAATCAATCATCAAGGGCATAATGGTGAGACTGTAAACCCTGTTGTCCTCTCATAAAGACAGCTGTCAGCTGAGTAACCTTCCAAATCTCATAGACAATTTCAACAAATGCATAAACTCATGAAGAGGCGTAGAAGGAGGTGAGATGATGGTACAATAAATCCTATCCAATCCAGGATATACAAGAGCCATAACCAGAATCAACTTTTGAAATCATTCATAAGATATGGCTATCTCATCTAGTGAAAAAAAAAAATAAAGGCTGAAAAACATCTGAAGTAGATAACTAATTAAACATATTAACAACTAATATTCACATTGGTGTTCTTGGCAAAATGGTTTTTCGCATGTCCTTAAAAATTTAATCCCACTTATAACAAAAACAAACAAATAGTTCAGCTGACATTTTATGAAGTACAGATTCTGAGATGCTAGATGAGAGGACTAAGGTCAACAAACTATTAAGTTAAACCTTTAAAGAAATCTGACTTGTGTTTCTTCTATTGCCCTGGCCCTAACTTAATGTGAAAACTGCCATTTTAAGGACAATTAACAGAAGCATTACTTCCCATCAATAAAACATAAGCATTAACTCCACAGATTGACTAACATACTTCAACAAAAGACAGCTGATGGTCCTAGTAGTAAATGTTAGATACTTTGGTGTACAAACTTCAAATGCCCCCTATATCAGTAACTACAACATCATATCATGCCAACAATAACGTGTTAGAATTAATTCTACTAAACTGAATTCATATCTTAAACACTGACCATTCTTAATTCTTGCATTTGAAAATTCAATTTGAGCACAATATCCAGTGGAACACATCCTTGTGCCATCTGACTCATATAGCAGAAATATTTGCATTTTTTTTTATGGCCTGACATACTTGTATTCTTGGCAAGTTGTCTCTTTTTTCACTTGAATCATAGAGTTTTCTTTAACATGGCAAAATCTAGATTAGAACTTAGAAGCTGATGAAAATAAAGAAAATCACACCTTTTGAGATTATGACCTAACGCTAATTCTTATCAACGACTAACTCATAAATGAAAGACAGTGAACGTTTAAACCTAACCAATCCAATGCCAACCTCTCACATATGATAAAACAAGGACAGGACTAAAACAATTTAAAGGTCCTCCAGTGACCAAACATGGAATTACTTTGTCCTTGTTCCCTCCAAAAGTAAACAGACAGGTTGGATGTAGTATCTGATTATTTGTCAAGATTGTTTCGTTATGGCATTTATGGTGCTGAACTACTGATAATGCGCCATTCATCATCACTTTCACCATCACACCAATGCCTACCATGTACCAAAAAACCATATTAAATCAACTAACTAAATTAATACTAGGAAGTAGCAAACACTAAATAAGGTAAGTATAGCATATCCATTCATATTGCACATATAAAGGGTTTTAAATTGATGGAAAACAAGAGGTATTGAGAAAAGAACATGACAATCATATATCCTATAAAAAATACAATTACCCATGTTAGCAAATGCTGTGTAGAAAACATTCCATAACAGGATAATATCAAACATTGGGCGTCGGAATTTAACCGGAAAAAATACATTCAGGTCCATCGACCTCGCTGATTTATCATCTTTCCAGCGACTAATAATGCCTTAGCAGTGCACCACCAACATCAATGCAACAAAAATACAGAAACGCCAGCATTCCAAAGCAATGTAGTCGTCCAAACCGAAATCAATTATCTTTGTCATTTATTAGGACAATCCCTGGCGAAATGCCCCTCATTCCCACAATTATAACATCCGCCAGCACCACTTCCACCAACTCCTCCACCGCCTCTGCCACCGTTACCATATCTCCTACTTCCACCAGCAACATCACCACCAGTTTGATAACAATCCCTAGCTAAATGCCCTATCCTTCCACAATTATAACACATACCGCCACCATAACCACCTCGTCTATAACCACCACCCCTACCTCTCCCGCCACCGCGGTTGCCACGTGAGGTGCCACGGAATCGGGGAACTGGCGTTACGTCAACAGCCTTCGCCCGCCCGTCCTCAGCATAATCGACGGTGAATTCAACGGGCTGGTTTTCCGACAAGGTACGAAAGCCTCGAGAGCGGATGGAAGTCTGATGAACAAAGAGGTCATCGCCGCCGTTGTCAGGAGCAATAAAGCCGAAGCCTTTCTGCGCGCTAAACCATTTAACCGTGCCTGTCAACCTACTCGCTTCAGCCATTGGTTCTAGAAGGTCGTGGAAGTTACGAGAAGCTTCTGTGCTCCGTGAATGGTTGGCAGAGGAGGAATGGATAAGCGTGTAAATTTATCTGGTTTTGAGGAGTTGGAAAGGATCCAACGGCAGGTAGGTAGGTTTGGATTGTATCTAACGATTCGGAGTCTCCCCGGCGTTATCCGTTTGGGTTGACTAACTACTCTGAAATTTTCGTCGTTACCCAAGATACTTTGCCACGTCACTTTTTATTGGTCTTGGGCAATGAGAAGTAATATTTGTATAATTTTTTTATTTTATATTTTTATATAATTTGATTGTCATTAAAATGATTAATTTTTTTAATTTATGTTGAACTCATGATATTACATGCATTTATTTATTTAATGACATAAAAAATGATATAAAAAAATTATTTCTATAACACCAATTGGACAATGCACATGTGAATTCCAAAAATAATAAGTAAATAAATAATTAATTAATTATCTAATCTATATTTTGTAAAAATTAAAAATATAATAAATATATGTTTTTATAATTAATTTACATTAAAAATTATAAAAATTAATAAATTTTTAATATTATTGACATATAAATAATTTTAATTAATTAATTGATTAAATTAAAAATTTTTCTAACTTATATCGTGAGGATATTTTTTTACAATAAACTTATATTGAAAAATATAAAACTAAACATTAATTTTAAAGTCAATAT